CTGGGGGGAAATGGACAAGGAGGGGGAACCCACCCACCAGTACTGCTGTCCCTGGCTGAGCCCAGCTCCCTGTGAAGCCTGGTTGGGACAGGGCAGGAGTGGCTCTGAGCTCCCCTTGTCCCTGAGTCAGTCAGTGATGGTGAGAACAGCAGCAGTAATAGGTAGGGGAGAGGAGAGTGGAAGGGGCGGGGGGAGAGGAGGGAATGTGACTTGAAGCATGAAGAGGAAGGGAGATGAGGAATTCTTACTTGCTTCAGAAACTTAAAATTTGGCCTGTGCAAAGCAGCAAGTATTCAATTCAGCTTTGGTTTGGCCAATTTGGAGGGACAGTGATTCAATTTGGTGATTCAAATCACTGTCCTGATTTGATTCAGCCAATTCAGATTCAGAGATTCAGCCACCAAATCAGGCCAAATCTCCTCTGAATCGAACAGGTGGCGGCAGTGTTGGTGGCGGGGGCATGGCAGCAGCGAGCATGGCTCCACCTCCCACCTGCTTCCCCAGCCCCCTTATGGCTGCCCCACCTGGCCCCAGCATCCTGGCACTTAAAAGAAAAAAAAAAGCAAAAAAAAAGCCCCACACTCACCAGATGCAGCAGCTGGGGGCTCATGGCAGAGCCCCCCTGCACAGTGCAGGGCAGCAGGGATCGGCCCTCTTCGCCTGGCACCCATGCAGCAGCTATCGCATTGGGTGGGTGCAGCATAGCTCAGCAGGGTGCTGTGAGGCTCTGCATGCTGTCTGGGAGCTGGGGCCATGTGGGCTGAGTACTGCCAGGTTCTAAGTGGTTGCTGGAGCTGCCCCAGCTCCAGGATAGCATGTGGCACCCTGCCGAGCTGTGCTGCACCTGCATGATGCAACAGCTGCCACATGGGTGCCAGGCACAGGGGGAGGCAATGCCCACTGCCCCTGCTGTGTAAGGGGGCTCTGCCACGAGCCCCCAGAGGCCCCAATTACTGCTGCTGCAGCTGGTGACTGCAGGGCTTTTGTTTGTTTGTTGTTGTTTTTTTAAAGTGCTGGGATGCCAGGGCCAGACAGGGCAGCTAAGGGGGGGCGGGGGGTGCTGGGGGAG